AGGTACTGTACATATAATTATATATTAATTATATATAAATTAGGTACTGTATATATAATTATATATTAACTTAATTTATTGTAACTTTATTATAATTATATATATGCTTTCTGCCGCCTGGCAACATGCTACGGAGATTTTAGGCTAGTAAGTTGAGTTTATTATCGTCTGCACAGTATGTAAATTAGGTACCGTAAGTCTAATACAGCACTAATTTTATACATTTCTTGTGAAAGAAACATTTCTGATTCAACGGCGATAAAAATTATTTATATTAATGATGTCTCCAAAGTTCAGCGAAGTTTTCGCAGAAAAATAACATCAGAAATCGCGGCCGCGGTTTGTGCAGCATTGTCAAAGACTACCTCTGTGATAGGACTGCCACAATACATTCAGGAAGCCTACAGTTCGAGAGAAAGGTCAGCAGGGGCTGCCCTCAGGGCTCTGCGCTAGGCCCACTGCTGTGGAATGTTCTTTTCAATGAATTTCTAAACCAGGACTTTGGCCAGCACTGCTCTTTCGCTTACGCTGACGATGCCTTTCTACTTCTTGGTGGAAAATCCAAGATCGAGCTTGAACAGAGAGGCACCGCCATATTAAATAAAGTTGTCCAATGGGGCAAGGACTATAAACTACATTTTAATTCAGACAAGACTAATGGCATCGTATTTAGCAGGCCTGGTAAGCCACATCTTTACAAGCGTGTTCCGACTATCAAGATGGATGGTAGCAGCATTAAGATTACAAAAACAATTAAATACCTGGGAGTCCTTCTGGACCACAAACTGTCCTGGGTCCCCCACATTCAGCATATAACTAAACATACTGGACTCATTTTTCATTCATTCGGCAAGATTGCTAAGTCCAGCTGGGGGCTTAACTCCACTGCTATGAACTTGATATACGACATGATTTTTATACCAATCATTACCTATGCGAGCGGCACCTGGGGCCACGCTATCCACCATTCCCATAATAAACGCAGACTTCTTTCTGCTCAGCGGCGGGCACTTCTCTACATTGCAAAAGCCTACTCTACAGCCCCCACTAGCAGCCTCCAGGTCATCACAAGAAAACCACCCATCGATCTGTATATTACTCTCTGTACTAAGAAATGGAAAATTAAGCACAAAGAAGAAATCACCATCAACTCCAACTGTATAAATCCCATGGACATTGAGCAACACATCCCGTACTCTCAGACTATTGATCCTAGCCAAATAATTAACCTCAACGACGACATTCCTCATTCAGCTATTACTATCTATACTGACGGATCTAAGGCTGACGACAGGGTAGGCTGCAGCTTTGTTGTATACACTAACAGTGTGGAATCTTACCACAAGAAATGCAGGCTGGCAAACCATTGCAGCGTTATTCAAGCCGAACTTCTCGCAATCCTCGAGGCTTTTACTTGGAGCTCAGAGCTCCACAATCACACTGACATCCACATTATTACAGACAGCACTGCTGCCATTCAGATCATCAGGAACAACAACACCCACCCAACTGCCAACAAAATTAAGAAAATACTCCTTCGTTCAAGTAATAATTATTATCTGACCTGGACAAGGGCACACCAAGGCACCAAAGGAAATGAACGGGCAGACACATTGGCTAAGGAAGCCACCACTGAAGACAGTCTTCCTATACAGTACAAAGCGATTCCCTTCTCACATGTTTGCAAAACCCTCTGGGAAGAGCTGCAAATCAACTGGCAAACTGCCTGGGACAGAGATCATAATGTTACCACCCATGCCTACCTTCCCAACATCAAGCACAGGAATGACCTAACTTGGCTAAATCCCAGTCATAACCTAACCCAATTCTTGACCAACCACGGCCGCTTCAACAGCTACCTCAATCGCTTTGGCTTCCAGGACAACAACCTGTGTTCTTACTGTGGTGTCCGAGATGGGAGTGACCACTATGTTTTTGACTGTCCTATGCTCCTCAGGGAAAGGACTTTCATTATTACAAGCCTTCCAGCTAACATCACCTGGCCCTGTAATCATCATACTCTCCTCAACAGCAAAGAACTATATGAACTTTACATAAAACTGATAAATACATACCAGAGGATCACACCTGTTCACGGTTTCACTCCATCAACTGCATAATCTATCATCTTGTTTCTGTGTACTTACTGTGTATTTAATTTTATATTGTATTTTGGCAATTACATGTTCTGTACCATTTTCCATTGTCCTGTACTCCATCATCAACTCCAATTGTGCTATGCGGTATTGGGGATGTACTTTGTACATATGTAAATAAAAATTGATTGATTGATTGATTGATTGCTGAGCTGTTCCGCGACGAAAACAAGCTTGAGCAACGGCAATGTCGAATGGTGCACACTTGGTAAGTAATCCTATAATTTTTTGTTTATAGCGTAGTTTATACGGATTATTTCCAAAAAAAAAAATATACGTATTTTGGAAATGTTAAGTCGAATTAGTCTAGAATCGATTAATTTTATGGAAGAAAACCTTTCAAACAGCCGTAGTCCGTAAACTTCACACGTGTCAAATACGTGAGCCAATCACAGCCCAAGGATTCCAACAACGCGAAATTCGTATAACGAGGAACGTATTTTCGCGTTATAGGGGGGTCTACTGTACTTTAAAGAGATCCCTACTTTGTACGGAAATGACCGAACAAATGTAGGTATAGGTGCATCAAGACAAAGCTTCCAGTCATACTTCCAAATCGACTCGAGATTTCATCCATGTATTGGAACAGGAAACGGGAATCTATACCATCCCTTTCGATGACATTCCCGTGAAGTCGCCCGACGCGACTCCAGTGGACTACTGTGCGTTTGGTCTATTGAAACGAGTTCTGGGAAGCCGTCGTCCAAAAACAACGGCAGGCTTATGGAAAGCCTGTATAAGAAGGAACGGGACCGTTTGGACATGAATGTTCTTCAAAGAAATCGTCTACAGTGGAAACTTCGATGTAGGCCTATAGTTTCACAACATGGTCATCATATCGAGCATAATCAAAACTGGCGCTATGGCATTTACGTTACTTTATAGGCCTCTTAATTCGGCATTATGTAACGCGATCAACCCTCTGTATTTATTTACCAATACACAAACACGATTGCTGCAGCAAGCTCGATCTGCTCGATTGCTGTTCGTACGAGCTTGTAAGGAAAGTAGCAAAATGCTAAATAGATGTGTCTACTCTACCCGGAGTTTGGACAGCAATTGTCCATTCTAGAGAGCGTGAACTTCCTTAACTCTAGAATACATTCATACCTACATAAAACTATAAGTATAAAAATTAATTACAATTACATAAACAGATAAAACTTGATTAGAAAAATTTGTAGTTATGGTTAAAATGATGGTTTAATCTCGAATGGTAAACGTTCAAAAAATACTTTCAACATTAAACGATTGTATATCTTAATAAATTTTAAATTATTCTGTTCAGTTCATTATTTTGTAAAGTCTGATTAATAAGCATATAATTTTCTCTTCCTTTTCTGAGACTTCTTCCAACACCACCATCGATGGATGAATTTTCCAATTAGCAGTATGAAAATGGTGGCTATTACACCCAAGAATGCATAACCATTAAAGGGTATGCCACCAATTATTGGGCATATAAATCCAGTTATATGTTTTGAGATGGTGTGTCGACTATATTTCTGGATATCAAAGGGAAGATTGCCAAGATACTCGAAAAACGTTCGTAATCCCCATTTCCGTTTTGATTTACAGCAAATACGGTTGTATATATTTTGCATAATGGTACTTTCTAGAAAAGTAATTTGAATTTAATTAACTAATCTGCTTGAAGTAACTTTAGAAATCCTAAATGGAATCACTAACCATCCGGGAAGTAGTCTTGCATAAATTCGTTTATTAAATTACAGTCTCGTTTGTTGAAATCGTAGGTTATCAAGCAAGACAGCCACGAATCATTCTCTTCGGAGCAAAATGTTTTTGAAAAGTGGTTTTCTACTTTAAGCTTAAGGCAACCTAAAAATCCGACTCTTCCTCTCTGGAAAAGTCTTGCACACTCGGGTTGAGCTAATGGTGAGAATTTATAAGTCAAAGCCTTTCTCTATCCAAAATTAATATGGAAATAATGTACTTACTTCGGACAACGAATGAATAAAAACTGTATCCAGTTATTAATATAAAACAGGAAAGAACAAACACCGCTTTAAAAATCATCCTTGGTGGATTTTCTCCAGTTAAACTGAGAGAATCTAGACGCGACAATAAGTTTAAATGGTTTCGGTTCTAATTATTAAATTGATTATTGTTAACAATACTTTTTTTTATGTAATTATTATTCGTAATGGAAATACTTTAATGCTTTTATTGGTCATATTTTTCGCTTGGAGTTTTCGAGAGATTTGTCATTTGGAATTATGGGGACATCCCCATTATATACTAAAGTGCATTTACATACACACAAATCATGATTAATTTAAATTCTACATTTAGTTATGTTTATCAAATTTCAGAGGTGGGAAGGATAGTAAATGTTAAAAATATTGGGAGATGAGCGCCCTTATTGTATACAATACAGTACATGGTGAGGGTGATTAAATTTTACTTTCAATAATTTTTTATAAGGGACTGAGAGTGGTTATGGACTCCCACCTCACTACAACCATTTATCATGCAGTGAACGCGTATTATATTAATACAAAATGATTTTATATTTTCTAAATTTGTAACTAATGAAAGGCTTATCCAAAAGGCGCCAAATTTAAGTTTGCCTCTGGTGTCAAATGCTCTAGCCACATATATAGGTATAAGAATGGTCTCTTCTTTGGAGGCAAGTGCAAATTTGGAGGATTATTTTTTATGTATGTATGGATATAACATCCATACATACATTTTTTATGTATGTATGGATATAACATCCATACATACATAAAAAAAATAATCCGAATTTTTATGGGGAGCACAATTGTGTTCACCCTGTTTGAAGCTTAATAGTTCCTGTGTTTTTTATAAAAAAAAAATTTCTGAAATTTTGCAGAGAGGTTTGTTTATTAGGAGGATTGATTCTGTTAAATTTCGGAGGGCCCACCAGTGGCCAAGCGGTCTTCGTTTCCTGAATACTGAGAGTTCGGTTGCGTTTCGCTGGCCACGTGGAGTTTTCCGGGTTTTCTCCACGTCTTCAACGCCTAAATAGGGGCCAGTTTCCCTTAAAAAGACCTCCCGGAAGGTATCTCCCTAGACAGATCATAACTAAACAAACAAACGTTAAATTTTTGGTGGTTAAAGGTCGAGTGGTGGGGAGATAATGGGGGTCGTGTGTATTTCAAGTAGGGTCGGACTTAATAACGATTTTACTCGTTATTAGCATTTACAATGTTTTTTTAAAACTCATCCCTGCCCTAAAAATTAAGCTGTTTGTTATTTTGTTATTTTATAATAGTTTTAAAAATATGAAAAGTTTTTAATAATAAAATATCGCAAAAGATGCCGCCACCAAAGGTTCCCAGAAAAGATAAGCAAATAGTTGTTGGATTTTTCTATTCTTTAAACGTGTTTTAGAATCTCCCCGTATGCAAAGCCAAGTAGAAAAGTCTTACAATGTTCCTCATTCATTTTGTCTTTCTTTTTTGCCACTTTTCGTCCTTCCTTTTTGAATATTTTAACTGAACAGAAAAGTTTTGTACTAATTTTGAAATGTTCTATAACTGTAATTTAAATTAAAAGCATTTCGTTTAAATTAAATTATTTCCGTATATGTTGAAAGACCAAGTTTCGATAACATAAAATTATATCGTAGAAAGACTTGATATATCTATTTTAATGCTAAATTATATTTTTTATTTTATTTAAATTATAGTTATTTTCTCATGAAATTAGATTTGAAATAGATTTAGATAATCTATATGTTTATGTAGAACATGAAATTAACTTTAACAACTATTTTAAAAGTCAAAGTAATGTAGAAATTAAACGTTGGCATGACGGATTACTTAACAAATATTTATTTCTACAGTGACATTGATAAGGAAATAATTTTAATTTATTTGTTTATCATGTAAAGCAGTCGTTTCCAAACTTTTAGTGGGATGAACGAGCCTGTTGATCACCGCACATTTTCTTAAACCTTTGAATCAAACTGGACACAACCACCTTCATTTCATTCTCCACATTGATTTTCGTGTAATGCTTAGTTTTTATTACAGCTACCAACTCAGCTTCGTACAGATAAGAAGTCGCAAATGAAATAAAGCCACTCAGAAAGGATATTCATCTTTTACTTATATCCAAAGTTCAGTTAATTCCATACTGCTAAATTTTGTTTTCAACCTATTGTCACAAGACAACTCAGTAAGATTCTCTTCTTCTGCAGCAAAAACAAATATTTCTCAAACCACGTAATAAGCTGTAATAAATGTTCTTCAAAAATAGAGTTCATACCTCGAAAGAAATCAACTCCATTAGAAGTCAAACACTTCCAACAAGGGGGAAACATCCTTTCCTCCGTCTTCATTTATTTTTCTTTTCCATGGTTTTATTTTTCTTTTTATAAAAGTTGAAATTTTCTCAATCGACTTTAAAAGATGCATGTTGTTTCCCTGCAGGGAGAGATTCAGAGCATTCAGCTTTTCAAAAATATCTCATAAGTATGCTAGTTTTACCAAAAAAACTTCAATCACAAAATTTTCGGCATACTTGTGGTCTTCCTCTTTAAGAATAATATATATTTTCTGTCCCAATTCAAACGTACGAGACAAAACATTACCTCCAGAGAGCCATCGCTCTCTCCTGGTAATGATTTATACTTTCTCGAAGTGCTGTAGTACAACAAAGACGTGTGCTCGGACCCCACATCCTCACATAGTTTTTTGAAAAATCTTGCTTTCAACGGTCGTTTTTATAAAATTTACTATATGTACTACATATTATGGTTCAATGCAGGACTCAGATATTTTGTTGCGAGTGCTTCCCTGTGAATAATGCAATGGGTCCACAGTGCATCGTGGTCTTTGCTTCGAAAAAGTGCTTGCAATCCTCTGTAACATCCGGACATAGAACGATCACCATCTGTAAAGATATCAATGTATTTGGTCCACTCCAAATTATTTTCGGATATAAAAATAACAAGGATCTCGAACAAGTCGTGAGCCTTAGCACCAGTAGTGATACTTTTACAGAAGAGAAAGCCTTCTACAATGTTATTATTATCTATAAACTGTACGTAGCAAATCAAGTGGGCATCATTATTATTATCTGTATCCTCATCCAGCTGCAGCCCAAATTTCTTTCTTTCTATTTTTCAATAATTGAACATTACAGGTTTTTCGCTATGTGTGTATTCTGCTACTGATAGTGTTATTGGACAAAGGAACTTTTGAAAGCTGTTTCCAAGCAGACTCACAGATCATAATGTTTACCATATCTACAGCAGTCGATAGAATGAGTTTTTCTGCGATGGTATGATACTTTTTACATTTTGCGATTCTATGTACCACATTTATTACCGAGTTAATGATTTGCATCAAGTCTGCTAAATGTCGTATCTTATCACATTGAATTGAAAGTGCTAGTAAAATTATTAAAATTTTATAATATTTCGGCAGCTCTATTGTGGGCCTGACCGAACCCATAATGGGCCTGCTACAAAAGAGGCTCTCTTAGTGTCCACAGGGTAGAAAGAGTTTAAAAAAAAAAAAGTTTTGAAAGACTCGGAAAATAACTTTACTAAATATGGAGGAATGAAATAAACAGTATTTTGTGATTATAATTATAAACAAATCAAGACAAAGCGTCGAATACTTACAGTTTTATTTAACAATAAGAACGAACTTGGTTGATAATGATTATTTACCATATTCACCTTTTAAGTCAAAGTACAATAAGGTCCAAATACAATACATCGAGATACCCTAAATATGTTATAACGCTTTATATTTCATCACAAAGTTCTAATTTAATACATTATAAGCCGAATAAACGAAAATTTAAAATCCTATACACAATCACAATCTTCTATTATTATATTTGGTATTTCTTCGGTTGAAATTGTTCCTGAATGACTGACTGTTACTGTTAATGAAGATAATAATGATGGCGAACAACATAAAGAAATATTACTATTCTGACTCTGCATATTCTTTTCTTCCAAATACTTTTGAATGATAGTTTGATAATGGAATCTTGGAAGAGTCGGATCATCTAAACAACTACCTTTACAAAAATTAGCTGTAACACCCGGTGGATCTACTATCCATTTAGACCAACCGAGACTGGCAAAGGAAACGTAGAATTCCTGAACACAGCAATTTTTCAAGCCTTCAAAACATTTTACTGCACGTTTATTTCTACGGGAAGGTACCGTTTTACCAATTTTAAAGACGATGAAAGGACATTTATCGTATTGAGTTGCTATTGGCTGTCGATTACATGCATCGCAATGGATTTTGAAAATTAGATTATCATATTTATTCGACCATATTTTAGTCATTTCAATTTTATACCAATCTGACTTTCCTGGCAAGATATGTTCAATTGGCAATTCTGTTCTTTCATATGCATTTTCATTCTTGTCCAAATACTCCACATGTAAAGTGTATGTGTGGTTATTGTACCTTTGTTGATTACAATACATCCATAAATATGCAGAAACTATTGTTGCCTTAGAAATATTTCTGTGAGATAAAGAAAAATTGAGGCCCACGGATGTTACTCTTGAAAAAGTATTGTTCACTAGAACTGAAAAAGAAAACATTTATTAAAAGTTATCAATATTAGCATAAAACAAAATTTATATTTTTACTACAGTAACAAATTTAACTCTTTTTCTCCTGTGGGAACAAAGAAAGCCTTTTTTATCAGCCCCATACAGGGTGGCTAGATAGTAAGGGAGGATATTAGGGACAGACCGCACTCGATAAATAATAAATTTTTAATAGATAAACTAAAAAAAAACTCCTACCGTTTTTAGGAAAAAGCACAATATCTCCAGTAACTGCATAGTAATCATCTTCTTTATTATCGATAATTACGACCTCCTTTTTATTTTTCCATATTGTACCGTCTACGATAATACTTGGTAGAGTCGTATTATTTACGTCTGAAGGCTGACTGATGCCAAAATGATCCAGTATTTTTTTCTTGATCATTTCTATTCGTACGCTCTTTATTTGTTTTAAGAGTAAAGCTTGTAAATGTTGATTATTACATTCTTTACATTCTTCGGTATGAATGATACCACTGTTTATCCAAATAAAAAATGTAATTATTATAAACGCTACTCTTACAATCATGGCTAAATTATGAATACAGTAGTTTACACCGTTGTATTTATTTATATATCATTATATTGTTAATATAGAAGGAGTAAACTTACATATGACATAGTTATCGTTTCGGCTTACAGTAAACTCTCCCACATACGGTTTTCCTGATTAAATTTTGGTGGTTAAAGGTCGTGTAGGTGAGGATGTAGAGCTGGTCACTGTATCTCGAGAGGGATTAAACTTAATGAAAATTTTACTCGTTATTAGCATTTACAATTTTTATAAAACATTATCCTCAAAATTAAGGGTTTTTTTGCTATTTTATAATAAATAATAATATAAAAATTCTCTTTATCAGGGTTCCTCCCGAATTAGGGGCCCTAAACCTAAGCTTGTACAGTATTATAGTAGATCCATCACTGGTTATTCAGATTTAAACAGTTAAAAGAAACACATTATAAAATTTTAAACCTTATTCTGTTCGTTTTACGGGTTTTTAATAAAATATTTTAACATTCAAGGTTTGCTCATAATTAAACATTTTCATTCAAAAATTTCCCCTCCTTTCATGATCCTATTCTTCATGCATCTTAATTAATGGGAAACTACGATATACATTGAGTTGTTAAAAATTTATCGTGAAAAATTAGTAATTAATTCGATTTTACCGGAAATAAATTGAAGAAGGGTGACAAATTTTAACCAATTTCTTTGTGAAAAAACTTAATAAAGAACGAACAATTATTTATTGCGACAACATCACAATGCCGGGATGCAATTTTTAATCACATTTTTAATTTATTTAATTTAAAATACAGTGAAAACTGCTTAGGCGACCACCTGCATTCGACGGGCACCTGTCAAAACG